AATGGTAGCACTATCAATAACACTGGGGAAGTTAGGAAGGAAACATAATTTGGTGGGAAGAAGTTTAGTTTGGGGGGGCAGCTGGGTGGTGCAGTGGTTAGAGCACTAGGCTTGGAATCAGGAAGACTCATCTTCATGAGTTCAAATCTAGCTTTAGACACTTAATAGCTGTGTGACCCTGGGCAAGTCACTTCACCCTGTTTGCCTCAGTTTCCTCATCTGTAAAATGAGCTGGAGAAGGAAATGGCAAACCTCTCCAGTGTCTTTGCCTAGAAAACCCCAAATGAGATCACAAAGTGTTGGACATGACTGAACAACAACAAAATTTAGCTTTAGGCAACTTGGTAACTTTAGGCTCTAGGTAAAGAGGACTCTCTTCCATTACCTCTAATAATTACTAACCAGGTGATCTTGGGAAAGTCACTTAACCTACCTGGGCTTCAGCTTCTTCTAATGTAAAGTAAAAAGATTAGACTAGAAGGCCTTTATCTTAATACAGACTTACGAAGGTTTGGAATACCAAAATCTTATACAGTGAAAGGCAATAATTTCCCTTATCTCTTATGTTACCAGGGGAAAAGTGTGAGGTGCACCTAGTCACATCGTGGTGTTGGAGAGAAATGGGACCCAGCCAATGAGGCACATGATTCTCCATTCACCCTTGCTCTCCATATTTCCTAAATAAAAAACTTGGGAAATAGGAATGGCTACCAGAAGCTAGTGGTAGCATTGTCTACGGCTCTTGTTTCTGAGGCTAGCTGGCCTATCTGGGAAACCGTTAGACAAACTAAAATACAATGTATAATGGGGACAGACTCAGAAAATGCAGTAAGAAGGCTTTATGGTAGGGGTCGGGGGAAGGTGGAATGGGGAGTAGGCAGGACACTCATACAGTACAGGGGCGTATGGGGACGATGGACACACAGGGCAGTCTGCTGGGGTCTTGGATGGAGATAGGGGCCCAATGTGGGGGGAGTGCAGTGGATTTTTGTAGGGATCTTATCCGAGTCAATTGAGAAAGGGGCCAGGGAAGCTTGATCCTGGCATATTGAGGGCATATGTGTTCAGGACTGGTGCTTATGCAAACCTCATTCAAAGTGCTTCCGAGTAAGATGGTGATATGAACAGGAAACACGCAGATAGCCAAAAGCCTGGGATAGGGGTGGAGTGTAGTGCCAGTGGGATCTCAGCTGGCTTGTCAGAAGTGGGTGTATGTATGTGGGGAGGGGGAATGTAAATGGGGAGGGAGTAGGAGAAAGTCAGTCCCCTAGTAGGTCACTTCCCAGGGATTCAGGGGCCAACCTCTGAGCCCTTAAAGAGAGGTACAGCAGGGGACAAAGGAGGGAAAGAGGCAGCAAAGCATATAGACATTTGATAGTGAGTGACAGAAGTGAGGTACCCCTCTAGGAAATCTGAAAACAGCTCAATCTCCTGTTGGGAACCAAACATGCCAAAGCAAGAGACAAAGCCAGCTGCCTCTTTGTGGTTTACAAGAAGGAAACTGAGATGAGGACCAAAGCACTACCTGTATTGGGCCACCAGGAAACAGAGGCAGGGAGAAACGACAAATTAAGCAGAGGGAGGGAGCTGGTCCCAGCCACCCCACCAAGAATTGTGGCAGAAAGCAGCATCTCGATGGTACCAGATCTCAAACTACACTACAAAGCAGTTATCATCAAAACTATTCAGTACTGATGAAAAAGTAGAAAAGTTGGTCAGTGAAACAGATTAAATTAAGCAAGATCCAGAAGCAATTGAATATAGTTGCATAGAGTTTGATAAACCCAAGGAAACCAACTACTGGAATAAAAGACTTCCTAGTCAACAAAACCTGGGAAAACTGGAAAGCAGTGTGGCAGAAATGAGGCCAGCATCACACGCCATGCCACAGTGGTCTCCAAGTAGACACATGCCCTAGAAATGAAAGGTCACAGAGTAAACAAATTGGAGGAGCAGGAAGGAGACACCTTTCACAGCTGTGGATGGAGGAGAGTTTTTGACCAAACTAGGAAATGAGAAGATTACAGAAGATACAAAGGAAAATTTGATTACATAAAACGGAAATCAATGCTGTTAGAATTAGAAGGGAAACAGCTGGGGAAAAACAAATCTTTGCAGCAAATTTCTCTAATAAAGGTCTGACATGTGAGATAGATAGAGAATTGATGCAAACATTAGAACAGGAGCCATTTCTCAATAGATAAATGGTCAAAGGATATTAACAGGCAATTTTCAAAAGAACTGCAAGCTATAGGAAAATTGCTTGAAATCACTGATAAGAGAAATGCAAATTAAAATGACCCTGAGGATCCACCTCACTCTGGAGTGTTGTAAGGCTCAAATGATATATAATGGATATTATTATTATATTATTATATATAATGGATATAATATATATCCAATTATATTATTATATAATGAATATAAAGCATTTTGCAAATCTTAAAACCCTATATAAATACCAGTTATTATTATTATTATCATTATTATTTTGTTTATTATTGCCTCCAATCTTGTAATGACTTTACTCCCTGAGTCTTCCATTTCACTCCTGCTGAGCTCAAGGAATGTTTATAGAGCAATAGAAAGGTGTTCTGGTAAATATTTAACAAACAGGTTCTCTGGGGGGTAGAGGGGGAGAATGTATACAACACACTTTTAAGTTTTATCTGCATTATTAACAGTTTCTTAAGTTTAGACAATCAACAAAATCAAGCCCTGGTTTGTAGTGATTTCTGAGGTAGAAATGCTCATGCTGAAAATTTAGCATGGTTGAACCTGTTAAGAGTTGACTCCAGCACACCCCCGAGTCTTCACTGCCAAAGACGACAAAAAATAAAAATGATTGTTAGAGGGGCTGCAGGAGGACAGAAACACTAATGACACCAATAATTTGGAACTATAACCAAAACGTCACTAAACTGTTCATATCCTTTGACCCTATAATACCAACAAACCCCAAACAGGTCAAAGAGCAGATTTTTTTTGTAGTAGAGAACTAAAAATAAAGTGGGTGTTCACTTTATTTATTCTACATTAGGGAGTGGTTTAACAAATTCTGTTTTGTGAATGTACTGGGAATCTATTGTACTGTAAAAAATAATAAAAGAGGGGCAGCTAGGTGGCATAATGGATAGAGGCCTGGAGTCAGGAGGACCTAAGTTCAAGTCTGGCCTCAGACACATAATACTAGCTGTATGACTCTGGGTGAGTCACCTAACCCCAATTGCTTCACAAAAATAGTAACAATAATAATAATAATAATGAAAGAGATATAGAGAAAACCCTTAAGATTTGTATGAACTGAAGCAAAACAGAGTGAACAAAATCAGCAAACCAATGAGTGCAATAACTACAATAATATAATGGGGGATAAAGCTTAAGAACTTAAAAACTATGATGAATGCAATTACCAATCAATCATGACATCAGAAAATTAATGAGGGGGGCAGCTAGGTGGCACAGTGGGGCTGCTGGGAACCCCGATGATGCAGTTTGGGATTGCTGGTAACCTCAAAATGTCAGAGTACAGGGAGAGTCTGCCTAGAAAGAATTCACACACTCAAATAATCTACCAGTCAATGGGGCAGTTTATTGTAACATCAATAGGAGCCAGCAAGATTCCCAGTGAATCTTTGACTCAATGAGGGTGAGACCAATGCTTATGTACAAAAAGGCCAGTGAAAGGATCTGGATGGGATTAAGGAGTGGTAAGTAGTGTAGGGTGGGCCAGGTGCAACCTGGAAAGGACATCAAGTAGGCTTATTAGGTGATCTAGATGGGATTAAGGTATATGCAAGTAGTCTGGGGTGGGCCCAAGAGCACTGTGAAAGGGTGTCAAGTAAGTGATTTAGGTGATCCAGATGGGCTGGGATGGACCAGTTGCTTTGGGTGAGACTAGTGACCTGGGCTGCTGAAATGTATGGGAAAATTCAGGGTCTAGGTCCCATTACCCCATCAGAATCAGAAGGACCCGAGTTCAAATCTGGCCTCAATCTGACCTCAGACACTTAACATTTGCTAGCTGTGTGACCCTGGGCAAGTCACTTAACCCTGTTTACCTTGTAAAAAAGAAAAAGAAAAGAAAACTAATGAGGAAGGATGCTTTCCACCTCTTGGCAGAGAGGCATGGAACAAGGGGGCAGAATGAGATACACATTTTCAGATACAGCCAATGTATGAATTTGTTTTGTTGCCTATATAGTAAAGTAGGTGGCACAGTGGTTAGAGTCCTGGTTTAGGAGTGAGAAATGTCTGTCTCAAACACTTACTTAGCTATGTGACCATAAGTTGCCAGACGTCTCTCAGCTTCTATTCCCCCGATCTGTAAAATGAGGATAATAATAGCACCTACTTCATAGTGTTGCTATGAGGACAAAATGAAATAATATTAGTAAAGTGCTTCACAATACTTAAAGTGCTATGTGAATGTAAGCTATTACTATTATCTTGTCTTTGCTATGAGGGAGAGTTCAAGGTGGGGGGAAACATTATGGAGGGGTGAAATAGTGGTGTAGAAAAGAAATAAAAACATAAATGAATCATTAAAAAATACAGACAAGAATGAAAGGAGGTTCAAGAGAGAACATAGACAAGCAGAGAAGTTTTGTTACTGTTGTGTTAAATTTAATATACATAAAAAACCCAAACTACATAATAGAAGCTCATAATTTCACATATAAATCCTCTTTATTGAAATATTAATGTATAATCATAATGAAAAAAGAATTTTTTAAAAAAATCACACAAATTGACTTCAGTGACTTCCATTTTTAAGTCCTGGGGTGGTAGAGGAATTATAATAGTCCTGCAGAAGTGGACATCAATTATCTTGCTGCTCCTCCATTCTGATTGTCACTGCCCTCTAGAGACACTCGCTACTTTGGGACTCACTCCAATGCAGACAAGGGGTGACAAGGACAACTTTTTTTTTTTTTAGGCAATTGGGGTTAAGTGACTTGCCCAGGGTCACACAGCTAGTAAGTATCAAGTGTTTGGTCTGAGGCCGGATTTGAACTCAGGTCCTCCTGACTTTAGGACCGGTGTTCTATCCACTACACCACCTAGATGCCCCCAAGGACAACTTTGAGGCCTAGTCAGAGAGCAATCAATAGTCCTCCCACCATTCTCAGTCACTGGCTTTCCTGACTTTAATGTCCCTCACTAGCTTGGTAACTAATAAGAACTCCAACCCTTCTGTGACAGTGGTAACTAATGTGTAGTCCCTGATGACCCAGCTGTTGTGGCTCAGCCACTGCCTGAGTCTGGGGCCGCATCCCTCAGAGTGAACCACGTTTTGAGCTGTGGCCTCATCCAGGCTCAGGGCGCCAAAGCCACACTGAGAGTTGATGATGGTTCCATTTTCCCAGGGGTTGATACAGCAAGAGTGAGGAAGACCACAGGCCTGGACTCCTGGGGAACTGCAGTTAAAATATCTGAAAAGGAAGGGAAGAAAGGACAAATATGGATCCAGAAGATAACAAGAGAATTTTCATCAATACCCCAAATGCAGCATCTAGAACAAGGGATTTATAGCTGGCAGATGCCCAAGGTGTCATCTAGCCCAATACTCATCCTAAAGATGAGGAAATTAACAGTCAGAGAGAAGTGACCTTTAAGTTCATTTTGTTGTTGTTGTGGTTTAGTCATTTTCAGTTGTGTCTGAATCTCTGTGACCCCATTTAGGGTTTTCTTGGCAAAGATATTGGAGTGGTTTGCCATTTCCTTCTCCAACTCATGTTACAGATGAGGAAACTGAGGTAAATAGGGTTAAATGACATGCCCAGGGTCGCACAGCTAGTGTCTCAGGTCAGAATTGAACTCAGAAAGATGAGTCTTCCTGACTCTAGGCCTAGCACTCTATCCACTGTGCCACCTAGCTGCCCTGTCAAGGTCATAAACCTAATAATAAAGGGCTGGGATGAGAATCCAGCTCTCCTGGCTCAAAATCCAGTGTTTTTCCCACTCTACCACAGAACTCTACAAACATCTATATAAAATGTATTCCCTCCCCCTAACTTCAAAAACTTCATAGCCCATTATATGATATCATGTAAAAATATAATATATGTGTGTGTGTGTACTGCTTATACTAATTATTGGGGACACTTTGTTTCTTGTGAATATATTTAAATTATAGAATGTGGGCCAGTGTTTCTAGAAAATGAATGAGCACTGATTGAGTAAGTCTGGAATTTTCTGGGATCTAGGGTACGGTTCATTAGTGAATTATATCTGCTTCTAAACAGGCATAGACAATTGAACTTGGGAGAAGATAGACTACCTTCATCATAGCGTTAGATTTCATAACATTATCCCAGTCAATAATGAGACAAAAATAGGGTTTAGAAAAGTGGCTCTTAACTTGTAGACCTCATGATAATTCCACACAGAATTACTTTGGGGGTAGCTATTTGCAAAATCATAAATAAGCAAATGCACTTTTTGTCAACTGAATAATGTCTCAAATACATACAGTATGTATAGCGAAGGCAGTGATTTATGTGCCTTCAGAAAAGGAGGGCAAACGTCACCACTATGCCCTGACTTTTCAGTCTTGATAAGCAAAGCCCCTTAGGTTATTTGTAAAGACCCAGGCTAGTGACCAAAGGCATAATGGGAGTTGAAAGGAATGTAGTCATGCCCACTCAAAAAGCAGATTGAGTTTAGAAAGTGCCAGTAAAGAGAAAGAGAAAACAGTTTAAAAAAAATATCAGTCTAAACCTAGAACCTCCTAGCCCATCTGTGGGTCTGACTCACAAAAGAGCTAAAATTAGACCCTGAGGCTATGAGCTAAAAGAACCAAGACCATTCCCTGTGGGAAAGAGTCTATATAATAATTACAATTAAGTGGAGAACTAGTAGAGAACAATTCAGAGAAAAACCAGAGGAAGGCTTTGCATCTGAGAAGATAATTCAGCAGTGTATACCAGCATCTTGTAGCACAGTTAAAAAAAAAAAAACAAAGCAGTTAAATGGTAGGTTAGATATGGAAAAGTTTCAGCTTGGATGTAGCCATTAGAGGATGAATTTCTGGGTATATATGTATCCTACATATTATGTACACTCTCTTAGGGATATTTCCTGGCTACAGGTATATTCTTTGGTCACATATATTCCCTCTCCTGAACTAATAGTATAAGAATCTGTGGGTGAGTGTACCCTTGTGTTTAGGGTAAGACTTTCCTTGTTATTAATTTTGTTACATGTTTAATTATGTCATTATATTAATTATATTAGGTATTAAAATGTTAAATTTTTAAAATTAAAAATATTTAAAATGCATTTTGCTTTAAACTAATATATCCTTTGTTTGGTATGGTAGCCAGGGGCCTTGTGAGTTGTGGCATTGACCTGAAGTATGCTTTGTGTAGGAAGTAGTTTTCAAAGGGCTCAGATCTGAGGGGGACTAAACTTGGAAATGTATTATTATGTTTCAAATATATATAAATTTTGTGGTTAATAGATGTGAATTCATTCATTATTACTAATAGTTAAATTTATATAGCTCTTTAAAGTGTGTAAAGCATACTATCTGTCTATCTATATTATCTCATTTGCTCATCATAATAACCCTCAGGTAGGTGCTGTATCTTCATTTTACTGAGACTGAGTGTGTTAAGTGATTTGCCCAGGATGAAAATGCCAATGTAACCGAAGCAGAACCTGAACCTAGGGTCTCCCTGATTCTGAGGCTGGTGTTCTATCCATTATTCCATACTGCCTCTCCAAAAGTTACCTGTAAATGACTTTGAAAGCCTTGCATAATTTTCTAGGAGCAGATTTTAAAATTATGCTACACTTAGGGTCTGCTAGGTGGCACAGCTGATCAAGAACTGGCCCTAGCATCAGGAAAACTTGGGTTTATTTAAATTAATAAAAAAAAAAAAGAAATTATCAAGGAAAACTGCCCTGATATTTTAGAACTAGAGGGCAAAATAGAAATCGAACGAATTCACCGATCTCCTCCTGAAAGAGATTCCCCAAAGGAAAACTCCTAGGAATATTGTAGCCAAATTCCAGAGTTGCAATGTCAAGGAGAAAATATTGCAAGCAGCCAGAAAGAAACAATTCAAATATTGTGGAAACACAATCAGGATAACACAAGATTTAGCAGCTTCTACATTAAGGGACCGCAGGGCATGGAATATAATATTCCGGAGGGCAAAGGAGATAGGATTACAACCAAGAATCACCTACCCAGCAAAACTGAGTATAATCCTTCAGGGGGAAAAATGGTCATTCAGTGAAATAGAGGACTTTCAAGCATTTTGATGAAAAGACCAGAGCTGAATAGAAAATTTGACTTTCAAATACAAGACTCAAGTGGAACATGAAGAAGTAAACAGGAAAGAGAAATTATAAGAGACTTAATAAGGTTGAACTGTTTACATTCCTGCATGGAAAGATATTTGTAACTCATGAGACCTTTGTCAGTATTAGGGTATTTGGAGAAAAAAAATTATATGTATGTATATAGATAGATAGATAGATAGATAGATAGATAGATATATAGAGGGCACAAGGTGAGTTGAAGATGAAGGGGTAGTATCTGGAGAATAAAATTAAAGGATGAGAGAGGATTGTACTAGAAGAAGGAGAAAGGGAGAAGTAGAACGGGGTAAATTATCTCACAAAAAACAGAAAAGAAAAGGCTCTTACAGAGGAGGGAAAACGGGGGAAGGTGAGAGGGAATGAGTGAATTTTTTTCTTATAGGATTTGACTTAAGGAGGGAATAACATACACACTCAATTGGGTATGGAAATCTGTCTTACCTTACAGGAAAATAGGGGGGGATGGGGACAAGAGAGTAGGGGGATGATAGAGAGGACAGATTAGGAATGAGGGTAATCAGAAGCAAATACTTCTGAGGAGGGACAGGGTCAAAAGAAAGAATAGAATAAATGAGGGAGTGGGATAGGATTAAGGGAAATAGAGTTAATTCTTCACAGCATGTCTACTATGGAAGTGTTTTGCATAACTGCACATGTATAGCCTATGTTTAGTTGCTTACCTTTTCAATGAGGGTGGGTGGGGAGGGAGGAAGGGAGAAAATTTGGAACCCAAAGTTTTAAAAACACATGTTTAAAAAAAATGTTTTCACATGCAACTGGGAAATAAGAAATACAGGAAATGGGGTACAGAAATCTATCCTGCCCTACAGGAAAATAGAAGGGGAAGGAGGGGAAGGGGAGAGATAGAAGGGAAGGCAGACTAGGGGAAGGGGTATTCAGAATGCATGCCTTTTGAGGTGGGGGGAGGGACGAGATGGGGTGAAAATTTGGAACTTAAAATCTTGTGGAAGTAGATGTTGAAAGCAAAAAAATAAATGAATTTATTAATAAAAAAAAACAAAAACAACTTTGACCTCAGACATTTACTAGATGGGTGACCCTGGACCTGGGACACTTAATCCCAATTGCCTCCAAAAACAAAAAGCAAAAATTATTCTATACTTGCTCTAATATTAAAATTAGTTTGTGTACCCTGGGCATACATTCAATGGTTAAAGGGCAAAGGTGTTAATGCTGTATCTCAAGGCAGAAGTGGGGGTGGTGCTAGCCTGATTTGAAAAATGTGCCCCAGATAATTATCTTCAAAATATATCCTCTCTGTGGGGACAAAAAGCACTGGGCTTAGAGGCCTGGTTATTATACTTAATAATCCTATGACTATGGGCTGAAATTAATCCTATTTGTACTACTTGCCTCAGAGGGTAGTTGTAAAGAAAGCATTTTATATATTATAAAGCGTTGTATAAATGTAAATTGTCATTGTTGCTGTTGTTGTTAAAGACTTTCTGAGCATACCCAGGTAAGTCGCTTCAGCATACCTTCATGTAAGGGGAACTGGGCACGCTCCAAAGGCCCCTTACATCATCATCATCTTCAACATCATTAATTTCTGTTAACCACATGTTTGCTCTTCCTTATTAAACATCCGTCTCTTTGAAGGCAGGTCCTGTGTCTTGCCTTTACAGGCACAGGGGAAAACAATTTTGGAGTAGACAGGAATTCAGGATAAAAGTCACCAGCTCTACCCACTAGTCTTGAAAAGCAAAGCTCCAGGGTAATTTACATTAGGCCAGTGTCAGTAACCAGGGACAGGATCCAGCTGAAAGGAATTTTCTCATTCACCTTCAATCAAAGAGCAGGTAGAACTTAGGGTGGGAGTAAGGCAAAGCAGTACAAAAGACAGGCATCCTAAGAGCTTCTGCAGCATGTAGCTGTGGTTCTGACTCACACAGAAGGAATGGGAGAGCAATGAGGCACCTGGTTAGCCACACGAGAAGTGTGATGATTACTTCTCTCCAGAGAGGAGGTACCATAACAACATCAATTCAGGAGAAAACCAGAAAACAGCAACAATTCAGTAGAGAAGCTCCATTGTGGAACTAGGAGATGGGAGCATAGTGGAGAAAATAGCCCAGAAAATGACATCAGCACTTTCCAACTCAGTAGAGAGAGTAGATGCCATCATTGGACGCCATCGTTGCACCAACACTTTTTCAGGGAGGCAGCGAGAGACCTGGCTTTGGAGGCAGAGGAAGTTTCCAGCTAGGGTGCAGCCATGGGAGAAGGAACAGAGTTGCCTGCCCTGTGGTTCTAAGTGTGTTTGTTCTATCAGCCACATGCTCCCAGCACATGTTCTTTCTCTCACCAAAGTTGTGGGGGTCTGTGGGAGAATATTCCCTTGTATCTATAGGGGTAGGAGGGAATTTTCAGAGCTATGCTACTTAATCAAATGCCTTTTGCTTTAAATTAATGTGTATTCTGATTGGGTCTAATAAAAGAGAAGCATCAGTGAGGGATTGTGAGATGTAGTTTTGGATAGACACAGACTCTAAGTATATACTTTGAACTTGGGATAGATTTTGTGGGACACAGATTGGAGGCTGTAGCAGGCTACACTGTTCCCTGATACACCTCATATAGGAATTCAGTGAAGACTTGTTTACTTACAGATTCAATTTCCAGTCCTGGTAGGACTTGGGATAGATTTTGTGGGACCCAGATTGGAGGCTGTACCAGGCTACGCTGTTCCCTGACACACCTCATGTAGGAATTCAGTGAAGACTTGTTTACTTACAAATTCAATTTCCAGTCCTGGTAGGACACTACCCCACAGCACTGTAGGCCCAGTTGTATTTCATCCAAGAGAAAACGCAGGTCTGAGTCATCTTGGTAGCGATTAATGGCCACTAGCATAGTACTGTCCAGTATATCCTGGAGTTGGTCCCATAAAGCATATATCAGGATTCCTGCCAATGTCTCTAGAATCAAGAAAGTGAGGATCCCCCCAGCGAAGAACCAAAGAAGGCAGACATTCTCACAGAGGGCCCCTACGCAGCCTGCTAGGGACACAATGCTGACTGTCAGCCCTACAACCACAAACAGCAACATTGGGTCAGTACCCAGGTGTGGCAGCTGCTGACTCCCCAGAGACTCCTTATCTGTCAACCCCCACAGACCCACTACTAAGGTCAGTAAACCAAGAAGAGAGAAAAGGAAGTTGAGGAGGAAGATCAAATACTTGATGCAGCTGCTCCAAAAATTAAGAGGAAGAGGGAGGCCTCCTTGGAGAGACGGGGCCAAGTGCCACTTATCACCTTGAGGGAGGCAACCCCAACCAGAAGGACCTGCATTATGCTTCTTTGGGATTGGTTCCAGGACTCTCACAGTATAGTTGCAAGACAAGGCTGGTGACTCATCGAACCCAGCTTCCTAGACAGGGAGGAAATACAAGAAAATCTTATTAATGACTTGACCACACTAATTTAGAATTTGTGATGAAAGGACAGTACCTTCATCCAATCTAGAATTGCAAAATAAAAAGACAGCCAGGAGTCAACAGTGGCTAGGAGAGGGGTTACATGAGAGAAACCAGCCCAAATGTTTGTACACAGACCCAAAGCCTTTGGGCTAGGGGAGAGGGGCTTTCCAAGTTAAACAAGAGTAAAAAGGAAAAACAAATAATGTTTGTTCTATGCATTAAGCAAAGCCCAAGTGGTAAGCCCAAAGAAAGTAACTCTACAACTACTAATAAGCCCATAAAGGACCAAAAAATCTCCTGTTCACAAGGACTACAAGAAGAATGGCTAGAAGAAATAAAACAAGAAATTAAAAATGAGCTTATAATTTATAAGAGCTATAGAGGAAAAATTGGAAGGACAATAAATAATTTTTAACAGAAGATGGAAAATCTAATCTGAATAATGGTCTCCAGGAAAGATAGAATGGAGTAATCAGAATTCAATAATTCCATGAGACAAGAAATATTCAAACAAAGCCAAAAGGTTGAAAAAAATTCAAGAATATATAAGATACCTATTATAAAAAACAATTGAACTGAAAAACAGCATGTCCAGGGGGAAACCTTTAAGAATTATCAAACTCCCTGAAAATGATGATCCAACAAAATATTTGGATACCATATTTCAAGAAACCATAAAAGAAAATTGCCCTGAGAACTCAAAGTTTTAAAAAGGAATGTTAAAAATGGTTTTTACATGTAACTGGGGAACAATAAAATACTAAATTAAAAAATTAATTAATTAAATAATAATTTTTAAAGGGAGGGAAACTTAATCCAAAGTGTTTAATAAAAGAGTTTAAAAGAAAAAAAAAAGAAAGTTGTCCTGATCCAAGGGACAAAGTAAAAATAGAAAGATTATTATTGACTTTATGATAGCAACCTCAAACTCAAGACATTCAGGAATATAATAGCCAAAATAAAGACCTTACAAGCAAACAATAATTTGGTTTGGAAGTTCTTGTCAAATTCTTCATATAATTCTCTATCTCTATTTCTTCTGTCAAACAAGAGGCAGATAAATGGTCATTATTTTCATGGTGGTCTTTTTGCTTATGAGTGGATGCTTACCATATGGTAAGTACTGTTCTGGATGCTGGGAATACAAATACAAAAGCAAGTATCATACCTGCTCTCAAGGAGATTATATTCTAATGGAAGAGACAACACAAATTGATGTGTAGTGGACAGGGAAGGTGTCCCTTTCATCAGGAAAGTTGCATGGATGGTGAGTATGGCCACAGTGAGGTAGTCTGGTGGGAGGAACAAAGATTGGTGAGGCATTTGGCCAGACTTTGAAGAGGATGACTGGGTAGAAGGGAGAGAAGCAAGGCATAGGTGGGGCCTCCTCAGGCAGTGAAGTAGTGGTCTGAGAGAAGCAGTTGCTAATTAGGAGATAAGTTCTAGAGGTGGCAGTTCTGGAGAAGAGACATTGGAATCTCCAGGGCATTGTCTCTGGAGTGGGTAGCAAGGCAGTTGGCAAGGTCAGACAGGAGATATCAGAGAAGAGGGAGTGAGGTGAAACTTGGCTGGGCCTTTTCATACTTTAGTTCATCATGAGCACTGCAGTTCAATGAACAAGCATCCCATAAAATGCTGGGTTTTTGTTGCCTTTGGGTTCATGACAGAGCCAATTCAACTAATTCCTTTGCTTTTCCAAAAAGAAACTGTAAACTATCATTCCATTTAGTTTCAGTTTCCTTTTGTCTTCTTGCTTCATATATTGTAAGAATAAGCATCTTTATCGATGTAGTTCACATCTGGTAGTGAATTTCTTGGTTACTAGTCAAAGTTCTTTTGTTTAGAGTACAGATAGTTAAATTAACATTTATAGATGTTCTAAAAACTTTAATTATTAGAATCCTCTGCTCCATTTTCTGCCATTCCATGACCATCACTGTGGAAGTAGAAGGGGGCTATACAGTACTGATCTCAAATTATGTCATAAAGCATTCATCACAATTAATACGTGATAAAAAATAGAAAAGTGGATTAGATAAGCTAGACTAGAAGTGAATATATGCTATAGTTTAGTCTCAATAAAACCAGCAACACAAACTGCTGGAGAAGAAAGAATAACTTTAAAAAAATTTTTTTAATATTAACAAGCATTCATTTTCTTCACCCTTCCAAATGAACAACAACAAAGAACTCCTCATAACAAATTTGCTTATTCAAGCAAAGCCTTCACTGACCGTGAAAGACTACAAAATTGAACAAAAAATCATTGGGAAAACAGAACAGCCATATGATGAGAAATGCATGTCTATAAGTTCCTTAGACTATATGGCACAACAAATTCCAAATGACTGAATGATCTAAATACAAAAAGCCATTCCATAAAATAACTAGAAGAAAATCAAAGGTTTTTGTAACTCTAGAAAATTCTTAATTAACTATAGTATAGAAAAGATTATAAAAGACAAAATAGATCATTTTGATTACATAAAAATAAAAATATTTTTACACAAATAAACCAATGCAGCTAGAATTTTTTTATAAAGATATTGACTGGGGAGCAGCTAGATGGTGCGGTGGATAGAGTCAGGAGGACCTGAGTTCAAATCTGGCTTCAGACACTTGACACTACAACCTGTGTGACCCTAGCCAAGTCACTTAACCCCATTGCTTACACAAAAAATTTAAAATAAAATAAAAAGATATTGTCTGGGAAAAATTTTTGCATTGAACATCTCTGATGTTTGACATTCATAATTTAGAAGGGAAATGATGGAAAACTTCAAAGCCATTCTTCAATATATAAGTGGTCAAATGAGATGAAGAGTTTTCAAAAGAAGAAATGGAAATATCAACAATTCATCTGAAAATTGTTCAAAATCACCAATAATCATAGAAAGATGAATTAAAACAATTTTGACATAGAAATTCACACCCATCAAATTAGCAAATAACAATAATAGCAAGCGTTTCCATAGGGCTTTAAGATTTGAAAAGCACTTTACATGTTATCTCATTTTATCCTTGCTACAAACCTATGAATTAGCTACTATTATTATTCCCATTTTATAGAGAAGGGAACTGAGATTGAGGGGCGAAAGGACTTACCCAGGATTTGAGGCAGGATTTGAACTCAGATTTCCCTGACTCCAAGTCCAGCACTCTACCAACTGTGCCCATGAAGAAGTGGTCTTTCTTCTTGCCAAGGTAATCCCCTCTAAACGCACAAGTCCAGCAGATTTCCTCCCACTATCATCCCTACTTTGTCATTAATCTTCTATTACTCCCTCTCTACTGGCTGCTTCCCTACTGCCTACAAGTATGTCCATGTCTCCCTATCTTCAAAAAAGCCTTCACTTGATCCATCCATCCATGCTAGATGTCTCTTATTTTTGAAAGCCTATTTGTGGCTAAACTCCTTGAAAAGGCCATCTACAATAAGGGCCTCCACTTTCTTTCCTCTTACTTTCTTCCTAGACTCTTTAGAATCTGACATCTAACCTCATCATTCAACCAAAACTCTTCTCTCCAAAGTCAGCAATGATCTCTTAATTGCTAAATCAAATGACCTTTTCACTATCCTCATCCTTCTTAACCTCTCCGCACTGTTAATCCCTCATGATACTCTTCTTTCCGGGTTTCCATGACCTGCTCTCTCCTGGTTCTCCTCTTACCTGTCTAATCATTCTTCCTCTGCCTCCTTTGCTTTCCAGGTCATGTTCACTAACTGTGGGTCACCCCCAAGGTTGAGTCCTGGGTCCTCTTTTCTTCTTCTTCTATCCTCTTCCACTTGGAGATCTCATCATCTCCCATGGTTTGAATTATCATCTCTTTGAAGATGGCTCTTAGATCCACTTGTTCAGTCCTAGCCTCTCTTCTGATCTTTAGTCTTGCATCAGTCACTGTTTATTAGGCATCTCCAATTGGACTTCCCATAGACATCTTAAATTCCACAATCCAAATATGAACTGATTATCTTTCCTCCCAAACCCTCCCCTCTTCCCAACTTCCTTTTTCCTGTTGATGGTACCACCATCCTCCCAGTCACCCAGTTTCATAACCTAGGCGTCATCCTTACTCTTCACTCTCACCACTCCAATTCATCTTCCACTCAGCTGTCAAATTGATTTTCCTAAAATGCAAATCTGACCATATCTTCTCCCCATTCAATAAACTCTAGTGGATCCCTTGTACCTTTGTAAGTCCGTTGTTTGGTTTTTACTTCTTTTTTTTGGCTAGGCAATGGCGTTAAGTCACTTGCCCAGGGTCACACAGCTACTAAGTGTCAAGTGTCTGAGACCGGATTTGAACTCAGGTCCTCCTTACTCCAGGGCTGGTACTCTAGCCATTGTGTCACCTACCTGCCCCTCACCCTTGTTTGGTTTTTAAATCCTTTCATAACCTGGCCCTTTCCTACTTATCTACTCTTCTTATATGTAATTCTCATCCGTGTACTCCAGTGACCCTGTACCCCTTGTTGTTTCTTAAACAAAGACACCCCATCTCCCAATGCCAGACATTTTCACTGGCTGTCCCCCATGCCTGGAATTCTCATCCTTCTCATCTCTGCCTCCTAGCTTCCTTGGCCACGTTCAAGTCTCATTTTCTGCAAGAAGCCTTTCCCAGTTCTTCTTAACCTTAGTGGCTGCCCTATGAGACTACTCCCAATTTATCATGTATGTACCTTATTTGTACACAACTATTTGCCTGAGGGGCGAAATGACTTACCCAGGGTAAATCTCTCTCTCTCTCTCTTTACTCCATTAGACTGTGAGCTCCTTGAGAACAAGGAGTATAGGGGCAGCCAGGTGGCAAAGTGTACCAGCCCTGAAGTAAGGAGGACCTGAGTTCAAATCTAGCCTCAGACATATCACACTCACTAGCTGTGTGACTCTGGGCAAATCACTTAACCCCAATTGCCTCACCAAATAATTAAAAAAAAAGAAAGAAAGAA